GGGAGCGCTCCACCCCCCTCAGCAACGCGAAGCGCGAGGAGGCGCCTTTAGGGAAGCGGCGGGGGCGGGGCGCGGGCGGCCCGGGGGCGGGGCCGCGAGGCCTGCAGAAGACAGCTCACCTCCGGGACAGGGCAGGAGGGCTTAAGCCTTAAAAAAAAAAAAGTAATAAAAAAAAAAAAATCACAAGGGGCTGAAATGCTTCGAAACAGCAATGTAGCCCCTGAAGCAGAGTGATAAATACAATAAGCCGTCCCTCTCTTGATATCCCCATGGAAACCCCCACCCAAGTCCCCTCACAGACTAATATTCTCAATCATTTAATGAAATAAAACAATCGAGCCTGAAGAATTCAAAGGGGGAAGAATAATCCAAGTTCAGCACAGAAAGAGAGGGAAAAGCAATTTTTCCCTTGTCAAGCCACTGCTGGTAAGAGCTAACCAGAACTAACCTCAGTTTGTAAAGGAGGATCTGGGCTTGCAACTAATCCATGGTTTCAGGTACTACATGTGCCTTAGCCTGTTTTTTCCTGGCTTTTTCAGCTTTGTGTGCAGTCACTGTCATTGTTTTTTCAGGCAATCTCTGCTGGTCAGGTCCCTCCTAGCGCTACTCAGAAGGCAAAGCATTAAAACCAAGAAAGCATCATTGTGAAACGACAGAAACTGGCAGGCTCCCCTGGCAAGCACATTCACTGAGACTAACGCACTTTTAAACTCAGGCGTCAAACTGAAGGTCTCTGAAGTTTATTAGTTGTCAAGAACTTTGCTGGTTAAGAGAGGAATATTAAGCTTGAGAGTGTCTCCCTACAGTTGTGCTGTCTCCTGCTTCTGTGACACACACCGAGACTTACCCTGCTAGTAAACAGCAGGGTCCGATTATTATTGTTTAATAACTGTGTTACTACCGCCTTTGTGTGAGAACAGTGCTACCGTACGTGCAGGATACTTCCTTGCAATCTTGTGATGCTGCTGTTCCACTTTTTAGAGCAGAATCTGCTATTACAGAAAGAGCCAACTGGCATGGTCTTTTACACAACAAAAATGTAATGGCAGAGCAGCTTGCAGAACACGCTGCTTGAACAGCTCTGTCAGTGGCTTGGGTATACATCACCTTATTTAATGCTGCAGAAAACAAAGGTGGGATTAAAAGGCCTTTGATGACTCATCTTCAACCCCATTAAAGAGTACTGTATCTTATAACCAAGTTCTGCCCTTAAACACAGAAGTCTCTCTCCCAGCTTCAGCAGCATCTGTCTGCACTTGTTCCACCTCCAGCAGAAACTGTGGCACATCCAGTCTCTGCACGGGCTGAACTGCAGACGTCAGGATGAAGGCAAGAGCCACACTTAGCAAGTCCCACGTGAAAAGACAGCTAAGAGCCTGGCAGCAGCCACAGTTCAGCAGGATCAACGCTACAACCAAGAATTCCTTGTTATGGCAGTGAGATGAACAGAGGCGGTGATACATCTGTTATTTGGAGGCGTATCTCTCACCTCTCAGACATACAACTAACTGGGATGAGCACCGTGTGTGGGCTTGCATCACGAGAGGCAAATCTCAAATACTGAGACCAGCAGAGTGAAGTCAAACAATCCCTTCATTCCTCCTCCCCAAAGAGTAGGCTCTTACTTCATCACTCAATTGCAAGTTTGCATCTGGTAAAAAACACAGACCATAGCTTAAGATTTTGATCCAGCAAGAGTGTGTAAAGAACCGTCCTTGCCCTTCCCAAACAGGATAAGCAGGATTTAAACTTACAAAATATTAGTGAACCATTACTTCTTATTCAATATGAACATGCCAATCAGGTTTGAACTGGATCAAAAGCCAGTACGAGCTTTTTTTTCTTCCCCACCTCACATCCAGTTGTAGCTCACATCACGTTCAGTTCTTGTCTCGGTGGCTGGCAGCACAGCAATCTGACACTTCCAAACTCTGCATCTGTTTGTGCTTAAACTAACTAAAGGTGGGAAGTGGCAGCAGCCACCCTGAACATGCAGTATTGACACTCACATTGAACAAGGCCACAGAACAACCACTCAGTCCCCCAGAAATCAGAATAAGCTGCCCTAAAATAAAATAATTAAATAACAACAGATTAAAAACATAGGTTAGGTGTCAAAATTGCCATCGGCTAATTACAAACAGCCAACTCAACTCCTAACTTGCCTATCAGCCAACTTGCTGTTTGAAGGATGAGAGATGGGAAACATTTTCCAAGAATATACAAAAAAGGTATGTACACATCTACTCAAAATGCAGTAAATAAGGTCTTAAATGGTTCCAGGTTACTCTCGTCTCACATCTTCTAGAAATACATGTGGGCGATTGGAGAAATTTACTTGTCTATTCTGTTCTTCCAGCTTCCCACAGTACAACTGCAATCAGCACCCAACCCACCAGAGGGCTCTGCTGCAGCCTGTTAGACTCCCCTCCTCAAAAGTTTGGCAAAGATTAAAATAATTTAAAGAATAAACTGGCTTTTTGCTTCAGCCAGTAAGTCTTTAATTTAAAAAAAGGGAATTAAGAACTTGCCAGGATGCATTCACACACCTGGCTGCTCTTGAACGAACTGTCACAGGCAAACAGCACATTGCTGAAGGTCACATTTTGATGGTTTTAAGCAGAAACAGCAGCAGAGCATTGTATTACAATCAAATCTAAAGAGGTGAATTGCAGTTGCTCTTGCTTCTGCCTTGTACTATGAAACCAGCTAGAGACAAAGGAGATGGCAGCTGCCTCTCCTCTACTCCCGAGCTTTCAACCGTGACGGTCCAAATTCGGAGGGTTCAAAGGAAAGTTTCTCTTCCACTAGCTGCCTCTACCAGTGTCTCGAATCCATCAGCTCCGGGCGGAGGCTCAGCTTCTTCAGAGTTTCATACCCTACCACGATGACAATGGTGGAAGGAGTGGCTGAGATGATGCGGGCAGAGAGACCTTTAGTCAGGCCCCAGGGACCTTCCTCTGCCATGAGCTGTCTGAAGGTGAGGATGATGGAGCTCTTGCCTTCCACCTGCAAAGTCAGAACAAATATTCACTGAGCTGCCAGACTTCATGCCGAGCTGCTCTGGGGTTCTGCTCCAACTGAAGACTCTAGAGACTACAGATCAACCAGTCCAATAACCTTGCTCTCATCTCCAGAACTCCCTGAGGGGGGCAGGGGGGAAGAAAGAAGTCCTACAGAGGCAGCAGTAAATGGGATTCTAAGACCTGTCTCCTCCTTCCTCCCATCTGTGCCCATCTAGAAGGGGCTGGATCAACACGACAGCTCGAGTCTCACTAAAACTGACACTGCTAGAAGCACCTCTCCTTTTCTGAAGGATGCCACATCTGCTGGGGAACCTCATTTGAGCAGCCCAAGTAGGCAAAGCCAGCCTTGCTACCTGAGCTGCCTCCTATTAATGCCAAGTGCAAATTAAGCAGCATGATATCTAGGACAAAACAACCTACGAACAGAGAGAGAAGGGGAGCAGTTTACCTGAAGCCACAGAGATCAAAGAGCTGAGACTGAACCCCACCCCTGCATCATGCTGTTGTTGCAGACAGACATGCCAAGCAGGCTGAGCTCTTACCTGAACCCGAGCCCTGATGACATCCATGGGGTTGGTGAGAGTGGAAGCTGTTGCAGCTGCAAGTGGCCCCGATATAGCTTGCAGGAGGAGATGGGGACAGTCTTTAGGAGTCAAGCTAGAAAGTTGTTCTGGGAACAGAAGAGAGAGAGAGTAAAGTTTCAGATGAGTGGCTGCTTATCAGTTCCTTAACTCCACCTGCTAATTTAGGCTGATTTGCAGTGGGCAGAATCCCTGATTTACAACCTGTCACCTCCTCCCACAGCATGTCTAAGTGGTGCTTTCTACATCAACCAGGAAGTTAGCAGAGCACAGGGAGCAAGCCCGTAAACACCCCGGCAGCTCAGTGCTCCATCATACAGTGTCTGATCAGCTCAAACACAGGCTCTCAGACTTGCTGGGCAAACAGGGCAGAATAAGCTTCTATGTCCCCAAAACAGAACATGGAAGCATTCACCCCCCTTTAAAAGGTACGGGGGAAACCTTTACACCAGACTATCAGAAGCTGTCTGTAGAGGTTCGCACAGATCCAGAAAGCTGTCACTACCACCAAGCACACTGTCCGAGTGATACCTGTATGGCATCCCGCTGTGGGATCTCTAAGGAGATAAGCACTACGTACTGCTCATCCCAGGGATTTCCTCATTCTGCTCCTGCTACCTGGCAAACAGGATTTGAATCTCCCACACTTTTATTGGCTAAAGTTGTACGGAAGACAGTCCAAAAGTCCCAGTTTCTTCAGATGATGTGGTGGTTGTGTCTATCTGGCAAAAAAGAAGTAAGTTGCTCTGTTCACGACCCAGAACACTGATCTGAATCACTGCCAAAAGTGTACTTTGAGCCCCGAGGAAGGTTCAACGACCCCTGCTGCCAGCCGAGACCAGCACACTATCCAGGGACAGAGGACAAGAAAAGGCAGCCAAAGCAGAGATGTATTGACAGCTGGGGCTTAATTTTAGCATCATTTTGATTTCCACTGCAGAAGACTAGGTAAGAGAGCAAATATCTGAAAGAGGCAAGCTCCATTCTGTCCATATCAACTTGCTTGTTCTTAGAGGTCCACTTTTGAACCGTTTTGGCATGAAAGTCTTACAATTAATACAGTGGATCCTGGTATTAAAAATTGTTGACATAGAGAGTGAAGAAAGCGCTCCCAAAAAGTTCAGACTGGACCAACATCCCAAGCTGCTGTTGCCATTTAAATGCAGCACTGATGCGTAACCAATGCTCCCCATTCTTACCAGAATATGCCCACTCTGAAAAGCAAACTAGACGTTCAAGACACCTGTATTTTTAAAAGCAGGTGATTTCCAATATATACTTTAAGCCTAGTACAGTGAAATCCAAGCCTCTCACTATCATCACTTTTAGGCAGATTACTATTAGGTAAGTATTAGTCTAAAAACTACATGCAAAGCTGCATGACAGAAATCTAAAGGATTATCGGGGGAAAAAAGTAAATCTGAGCTGGCCAGCATCTTTAGTATTTGGGAACACCCTGAGGATTACCAGAGCTGAGCTAGGGAGAGAGAACATACTGTTAAGTGTAGTTTTATATCACAAGGTTTGGTGCCAGTTTTAAAGCTACAGAAACTGAAGCATGATCTTAAGACACAAAACCATGGAAGATTTGGCCTTTGTCTCCACCTGTTGTTTGGTTTTGCTGAGATTTGTGGCTCTAGAAGTCTTTTTGCCATATACAAGACTCCCGAGTCCATGTGAACTGAAAGACGAACTATACTTGCATGGTGGCTTCAGAACTCTGTCCAATGCCAGACAACAGCCTTCGCCACTTCCAGGCAGAAAGTAAGCATTATTTGGGATTAGCGGAAGAGAAAGTTAAAGTAGATGCATCAAGTCCCTCTTGCCTAGAGCCATCCAGTTTTAAGTCCTCTAGCACTCAAACCCCTATTCTTTAGCTCTGCATTTAAAAGACTGCTACTTTGTTAAACTTCCACCCAACATCTGCAGAATTCGTTTAAATTGGATACAGCTGTTTGTTTCAAGACAGGTTCTGCTCCCTCTCTCTTTTTCTCAAAGAGAGAAAGCAAATCACACTGGGTCCACAGTTTCAGAGTTGATCTTAGGGGCTTCTAGATCTGCTGGGATAAGACACATTCAATGTCTCCTTTCACTTACCGGCATAGAAGTGGTAGAAGGGCCACCAGACTGCACTGTTGGGAATATAGGTGAGCAGCGAGGCCACATAACCCCTGTAGAAGCCTCTAAAGCCATCAGCCTTGAAAATCTGTACAATGATGTCCTTGGTTTGGCCAAAGACCAACATCCGCTTGCCATCTTGGTTCTGCACCTTAAATCTGCCCATGCTTTCCCCCTTCCTCTGCATCATGAGATGCTGGGAGATCACATCAATGGGCACCGTGATGCTCTGGGCCACCAGGGAGGCTGAGCCACCTGCCACCAGAGACTTCACAGCATTGTTGTTGTTGTACCGTGACACATACTTTCGAGTGAGCTCATATGTCGTCACATAGCACTGTCCAGATATCAGGGTGAAAGTGTTGACCAAAAAGCCACGGTAGAGCCCAGCTGTCCCTTCTGTCCGCAGGATTTTCACAAAAGCATCGAAAGTCCCATTGTATAGGCTCTTGCCCTTCTGAACCTGCAACCGTGTCCGGATGAGTGTGAAAGGGTAAACACTCACCCGGATCATCATAGTCATGCAAATCCCAAACACGTAGAATTTCCTTTTGTCCAGGTGCTCCCACTCAATGATGGGGATGTTGCGTTTGTCTTCCATGACTCCTTGGAGTGGGGTAGGAGAGGTGGTATGCCCCAGATCTACCTCAAAAGTACAGAGCAGATCCAGGCTCAGCCCTCCTATCTTGACTGACTAGACTGGAAGTGCTGGCATCTGAAATGAGACACACTTTCAGTAGATGACGAAGTACCTAAGTTAGCTAAAGCAGCCTATGTCACCTAACTTTGCTGATTTTCCGGAAGTACACAGAGAGCCCTTGCACAAACCGTTCTGTTGGCAGAGTGGTGGGACTGTAACCTCAGGAAGCAGGGCCGTATCACGTGGTTGATGGTGGCACCTTCTGATGTCACCGTAGCTATTTGTTAAACTCTAACAGCAGTCTGCATACATGGCAGTTCTCGCTACAGTTCCAGACTACTCTGCTGCAAAGCAAAGCTTGCCAGACTTTGCAAAGCAGTTTGAGATCCACAGAGGAAGAGCACTGCTCCAACAGCAAGCACTACCTTTTAACAAACACGCAGGTTTATGGATTGTCAACCAAAGCAGCTTCTCCCCAGTCATTCCGGGTTTGTGATGCTCCTAGATGTCAGGATGTCACTTTCAGTTCCAGGCTCTGTACAAAGGAGGAAGTGACAGGTCTCCATTTGCATTTCCAGATTCCCTGCACAAATTAGATACATTTTTCTGGGCATTTCCATTTCGACCTTCCTAAATCTGGAGGGTGATGCATGCCAGGGAAGGGGGAAGAGAAGGTCATGAAAAGAGGAGCAACGATGGGAGAACGAGGCAAATGCAAACAGCCACGTAGAGTCTCCACGTTGATGACCAAGACCCTGAAAAGAAAGGGTTAAAAATCACAGCCCAGGGATCTCTCACGTGACCAATGCCTAACTGAGCTTTTCAGTGAGCAAAGTTCATCCTCACTTGCAATACTGCATCATCATTCTCGTATGGTAACACTCACAAACCTGCCATGCTTCCACTTTCCGCAGCATTCAGAGTACCAGGAACTGAGGGACAAGGAGGGGAGGTCCTGGTTCAGCCTCCACCAGCAGACCCTTCCTGAACCTGGCTCCTGCCCCTGATGCACTATCGCTGTGTCTCATCCCGCAGGCTGTCACGTACCGGTAATCACAAACAACTGCTTCCCCAGGACAAGACTCTCAGTAGTTCCACCTCCCCTCCCTTTTGGCTGTAATTTGCTCTAACTTGGTGCATCATTAACTAAGCTTGGCATAAGTGAACCTCCTTGCAGGGCCAGGCATATACAAGCAAAAAGAGAAGAGCATCTCAGAGAATCAACCCAGCATGAAACTGATTATTTCGCTGACCACAAGGACTTTCTTTCCATATCAAAAAAAGCCTACGAGTCTTCAGGAATAATAGACTGCTAAATTATTAGAAAGGGCTTGACTGCAGCTGCATCACAGCTTATACTCCAGGCTCTGGCAAATGGGCATTTGAAATCTGTGCACAGGCACAAGCGGAACTGCTGGAGAGCAGAGCAATACCAAGTAGCTCCACTTGCAGATGCAGAAACTGGAAGAAGTGTGCCAAAACCAGAGATCTGAAAACAGATTCACTTTGAATCTAGACTGAGTGAGAACTCAACTTTAACATGAGATGTGGTCAATGCCATACACCAATTTGGGGGCCATTTTACATTATCAGTGTAATGCAGAAAGGCCATAGCGTAAATGTCTCCAAATTGCAGGCTTCATGGAGAGAGAGCTCAAACAGTCAAGAGCCATTTGATTTAGAAATGCAATAACAAAACAATGGGTGATTATTTACCTCTGGCACAGAGAGGAAATTACGATTATGAAATTATGGTGGGGAGGTAAGGGGGATGCTATTAACAGACCATTTCATTGCCTATCTGCCAACAAAATATTTGCTTAACATCAGCGAAGAGCGTTACAGGCTGCCACGGCTCCTGCTGATGGGCAGTGAAATTAAAAATACCCAAGAGCATCCAGGTCCAACAGGGAGGGTGGGGGAAACCCTATTTCACCTAGTACAAAGAAAACTACACTTCATTGTTACAGTCAATTGACTTGACAGGTAACGCATAACAAATACCATGGCCTGTCTAAAGAAAAGTAATTTTGCTTTAATTATAATTGCAGTATTACTGGTTCACTAATACAGGCATAATTAGACAGCATAAAGCTTCCTACACAGGAATTATCTGCACACAGTACCTACAAAAACATTATTTTGTTCTTGTTAGGAGCCCCACTAGCTTAATATTTTACTTAAAAAAAAAAAAAGTCTAGCCAATGCAATTTCCTGGTGAAACCTGAGGGTTTAGTCCATAATCCAAACTCCTCTGCCACCCAAAAACGGAACCATATGTAACAGAGCTCCCCATGTGAAAGATAAGGTGTACCTACTAAAAAAAATACTCATTGCTACATAAGGAAAACAAATAAATAATAATAAAAAATGTATCCTTGACTTTTATTTAGTTTTATGTGCTATAGTGCTTTGTTTTTAGAATTTTAGCCATAACCTCCTTGAGGAAATAACTATACTTTTTTTTGACTCTTACTAATAACTACTTTCATTCAGGATCTAAATTAGAAAGACAATGTCACTTTAATCCCAGGGCCCACAAGCAATCAAAGCCATAAGTTCCTCCTGCGGGGAGGTGAAGATGGAAGGCATCCTGGCATCACCAGGCATGCTTTGATTTGACCACCACAGCCACAATTCTTGCTCTGCCAAGATGAGAGTTTTGCTGAGAGCGTTTATTCTTCCAGAAATTAAATCTAGGGCCTCACTCAGAGCAGTGAACCTGTTGCATCCAGTTTCAGCAATTCTTTGATGATCTTTCAAGTAATTTGGGGGAGATCGATATAAAAGTAATTGCTAAATCTCAAAAGAACTAATCTGGCCTCCAAAATGAAATACAAGTACACCAGCTTCCCTCCCAGGTCACGGAGCCATTCTGTACTTCAACACTTGAACAGTTTCCACGCCCAAACTACACTTCAATAGATCTATACAGATGGTGACTTCTCACAATGAATAGAAAAGCATTTCTTGAATTTCTGCCTCGAAATTAAAGCAGAGGATTACCAAACAGACTGTACCTGCTTCTGCTATCTTGCTAGTTTGTGGTATGACCTACAGGATACTTTCAGTCTTCTAAACACAGACTGCAACTTAGTATGACACCCCCCCCCCCCCCCCCAATTTATCTTCTTTTTAATGCAGCCCCATCAATCCATTCTCCAAACCATTTTTGCTGCAGCTGTACCTAAATACGATTCTTTGGCAAACAGAGACAGGGCCTTTGTGTACCCCTGGCCAAGGATGTCTCCTGCTCAGCATACTAATGCCTCAGCATGACAGCCTGGGAACCATCCAGAAGCAGGCGGCAGGGCCGCCTTTCCAAGCCCCAACCACTATACGCGGTTGCCTGTGGAGATCCTCTCAAGTGGGAAAGCACGAGATCAAACAAATCCACTACAAGTCTCTCTGACTTGAAGGCTTTTATCTGTGCCACGCTATGCCGAACCTGGTCTAAGTAGGCAACTCCATTTTCAAAGTCTTTACTGTTGCACTCCTTAAATTTACCCCAGGGTGGAAGTGGATATAAAACCAGCCTCACTGAAGATCTGCAGTTCCTCTGTGAGCAGCTGTCTCTCTGTAAACGGTGAGGCAGAGACACTCTAAGGCCAGCACTTCCCAGTGCACCCACAGCCTCGTGTTGCCTTCCCCCCCGCCTCCTGTACGCAGAAGGCCGTGCACAAGAGCTAGGCAGCTGGCACAGCAAACCACCCTCCTACCTTATAGATAAAGCCATCGGCTCTTACGTTGGGCCAGACAAAAAAATCCGATGCGCTCTAAAGTGTGCGAAGCTTGGCACAGGACCCGCTCAAGGTCACTGAGCGGATCAGCAGCTGGGCAGACAAAAAGCCTTTCCCAGCACAGTGGTTTCAGGTCGCGGGCATGTCCCCCTCTCTCCCCCAGGCAGCTTTGCTTCCCGTAGCCCTGGAGGCGCAGGGAACCCCCATCCCCTCCCCCACCTGCCCCTAGGCCCCTCACCGCCGCAGCACCCGCCTCCTCAGCCAAGCGGGTCTTGAGCCAAACCGCCTCCTCCAACCCTTCCCCGCGCTCCCCCTCACCCCGCTTTCCCGGCACGACCCGAAGCACACACACACACACACACCGGCTCCC